GGGAAACCTTTAAAGTTCAGTAAAAAACCTATTTTTTTTAGAGTGTAATACTTACTCTTCCTTTTCTTATCATTGTTTTTACTTCAACATTCACGCACTTTCTATATAGACACTCACAGTACTAAATCTTGAATACAATAAAATTAGTGACCAAGGAGCGCAAGATCTTGCTGATGCTCTAAAAACCAACAAAGTAGAATACAATTCGTTCTGCTATTTCTCTTAACTTTATCATTCTCCGTACCGTTCACACAGACGCTCACAGAATTATGCCTTGAATGGAACTTCATCGGCGATAAAGGAGCGCAAAGTCTCGCCAATGCTCTACAAATCAACAAAGTAAGACAATATCCTGTCTCTTCTTCTTCTTTTCGTTACTTCATCATTTACATACTTTTCACGCAGACGCTCATAACATTGAATCTCAACATCAACGCAATTGGTGACCGAGGAGCGCTAGACCTTGCCAATGCACTAAAAGTCAATAATGTAATACCAGTTACTCATCTTCTCCTTTTTCACCCTTCATCATCCAAGTTCTTTTTATATAGATACTTGCAATATTGAATCTAGACTCCAATAAAATCGGAGATAAAGGAGCAGAAGGTCTTGCAGATGCTCTTCGATACAACAAAGTAATACCAACTCCTCTACGTTTCTTCACATCATCATTCATAAATTTTTCACACAGACACTCACAACACTAAATCTTGCGAAAGATGAAATTGGACCACAAGGTGCTCGAGATCTTGCTAATGTTCTATGGATCAACAAAGTAACATAAATCCTTCAAATTTCTCTCAGCTTATCGTTCATGCACTGTTTCCAAAGACACTCACAGAATTAAACCTTCTGGGCAACAAAATCGGCGATCGAGGCGTCTGTTACATAGCAAACGCTTTAAAAATAAATAAAGTAAAATTAAACCTTCCTCTTCTTCTTTTCCTTATTTAGCCACTCACACTCGTTCTTCATAGACACTCATAGGATTAGGGCTGTCATGTAATGAAATTAGTGATCAGGGAGCACAAGATCTTTCCGATGCTCTAAAAATCAACAAAGTAACATCGAGCAGACTATACTCTATATTCCCCTTCCATGAATCATGTAATTTTTACATAGACATTGGTATCATTAGAGCTCATCAGTAACGGAATTGGAGATCAAGGTGCACGAAATCTTGCTAATGCTCTTCAGATCAACAAAGTAAAATCACTTCTTCTTCTTCTTCTTTTTCCTTGATAATTTATGCATTTTCCACGCAGACACTCGAAGTACTAGAGCTCTACACTAATGAGATCGGTGACCAAGGAGCGGAAGATTTTGCCAATGCTCTTTAGATAAACAAAGTAATACCAATGTTTCTCCATCTTCTCTTTATTTCATTATTTGTGCACTCTTCACCCAGACATTAACAAGTTTAGAACTATCTAATAATCAAATGAGCGAAGCTGGAAAAGAACGCATTGGAAAAATATTCGAAAGAAATGCAAATTTTCACGTGCATCTTTAACACGTATAAAAAAAAGTACAATAACATCAAATGATATGACTCGTATAAATTATAGTGGCTACACAAAACACATGTTCGGCGAAAATCTCTTTTTTTCCTTTAGTATTAAAGTGCCATTCGTGTTATTCATATTATTTAATGTTTTAATTTGTAAAATGAGGGTGTGGACGAGTATAGAGTGAGCTTGTTCTTCTAATATTGTTCTTTTACTCTTATTCATACCCACAGCCAAATGATACACTGTAAAAAAATAGGTGTTTTACCAAACTTCTAAAGTTCCGTATTTTTTCTTTCAAACGTTTTGAGCTCTGGATATTTCACATGGTTTTGCACTTTTCATACCAATCCTGTTGTTAGTTTCATATAATGTGTGCTAAACCGGTGATGGTTTCCTAGACCTTCTAAAAGTGTGGGTGTGGATGGATATGAAATCATGGCAACACTATTAATAACACCCAACCACACCCATTTCTGAGTATATGTAGCATTTCATCAACTGATTCTCCAACAATCACGCAATCATTTCGACGGCGATCGCTAAACGGAAAAATTGCATTTTATTTAGATAAAGTTTAAGAACGCATTTTGTTTGAAGAAATTTGGAGTACCTGCAATATGATCATTCTTGTGTAGTTGTTCTTGTGCGATCATTCAATATTTGTCCTGCTACTTTTGTGCATAGCGAATCATTTTTTACTGTAGTAGGATATGTTTAGAGAAAGAATTGATCTTCTTTCGCCTCAAATACATTGCGTTATTCAATGGTTCTCCATGATTGTAATATTTGTTGCTGATCTTACTTAATTCATTTAAATCATATTATTGTCATACATTTTATCAACATGTCTTTTTCTCTGCATGTGGCATTATGATTTGTTTATTATGAAATTAACTTATTTGAATATTTATTATATTTTCAGAGTGGCAATCATTATGCTTATAAAGGAAAAAGTTTAAGTTAATGAATAATAAAAGAGTGAGATAATTAATATATATTGAAATGATCATAAGTAGACTGTATATCAAAAATATGTTTATTTAATTTTTCCTTGGTACTGACTATAGATTCAATGAAAACTAATATGCAACATGAGCACTAACAAAATAAACTCAGATTCTTTACACTGAATTTGATTCAAAATATAATAAAGTATTATTTGCATCCAATTCAAACAAAAAAAACAAAATATTTTTCTAATTGTCTGTGCAATGTTCGTTGATATGTTGGGAACGATCAAATTCTGTCATACACATTGGAAATATCATAAAACATATAGGGCACTTATTGATCAAATCATTATCATGTGTTCTAAGAACTATTGAGATGCTTTTATTGTTGATTGATTCACTATCATTATTCGAAGATTTCATCGTTGCTGGATTTGTGCTGCATAAGAAAGATTAAAGATTATATAAAAATAAACTAATTTACATCGACAAACTCACTCAGTTTCATCTGATATTGATGATACTAACTGAACAGATAGATCTTTGTTTTCTCTTCCATTATCCAAAGTAGTGTTGATATTTTCAACTATTGAGATTTCTTCAGACTTATTAATCTTTAATTCTGATGCATCGGATTTTTCTTTCTGCTTTCTTTCCATTTGTTCTTTAATAGTTACCACTCTGTATGCACTCATTGTAGAAGTGACAGTCTCGAGCTGTATCATATGAAACTCTAATAATCGACATGCATTTTGTAGTTCATTAAATAATTCAATATTTTGTGCGCTACAGTAAGCACGTGTTGTATCAAGATTTTCTTCGCATTTTTCATGGAGATTAAGTTGTAATTGTTCAAAGTCAGTTGCCAGAATCCGGGTTTGTTCATCGACATGTAGATGTATCTCTTGGATTGTTTGATCACGCCAGGCATTGATCTGATTTATTGCTGCTATACATTGATCTTTCATTTTCTCCCAATGTTGAAAAAAAATGTGTCGAATATTATTTTCTGCGTTAGTATTATCAACTAACCAGCGACAAGGTGGATTGAAAGAAATGCTCATAATTTAACTAATATCTACAAGAGTATATAAACAAATTTTAAATCGTACCCGTATATTTTCCATTGCTTTTTCTTACACAGCTATTCACTTTTATTATGTATCATATGCAATGAAAAGCAATAATTATTTCACCAACTGATATAATTTAGAATAGAAAGAAAACAAATTTATAAATATTTCTATCTTATCCTAGCTGTTACTCTTCATCTATTATGATTACTCAAAATAATAAATCATTTAAAAAATCTTCATACAATAATTTAAGCACAATGGGATTTGAAACACTAAAGACTTTTCAAGATCTTATCATGCTTTGAGATACTGTAGCATTCATATTGTTCATATTCTTGTTTTATAAACTGATAATTCAGTTGATATTTGACATATCCATTTCTATTAAATGTATCTTGATATATTTCCATTTGAAATTGGTTTCTGTGATGAAATTGAAACAATTGATCTAATAGAAATTTAAAGGCATTCATTATTAGTTATAATAAAATACATATCCTTGATTTATGATACAATAAACTCAAATATCTTCCACGTTACGCAATATATTTCCAACTACAGCTAGTTTAAAAAATATCATACAGTGAAAATAAATTTAAAATCATTCGAACAAGAATATCATTCTGAAAATGTTTGATATAAATGATCGAAATTCTGCTTATAAATAGAAACAATAGGTTAGTTCATTTCATTCTTTTTATTTTGTTTTTTTTATATATGATAATATAAAAAAA